GTTTGGACATTCCTGTGAGCTAGTCTATGATTACATCGGACCTTGATTTGCAGGAACCGCAAGGCGAAGGGTCAGAGACTTGAAGTGTCGAACATCACGCATTAGCACTTTAGGAAAGACTGGAGTCAAAGCTTGTTCAACGCCGGCAAAGCTTAATATCGGTTGCAGGTGCAAGATACTGCGTCCAGTACGACCGAACACCACAGCTTCGTTAGCACGGCTAGGTGAACGGTCGCCGTGCTCCCTGCTTGACTGTACAGCTGCAAACCTAGAGGGAGTAAGGTGGAATTGAATTGATGTGGTCGTGCTCCTTAGGGACAGGAGTTGACACACACACACACACCTCTTCTGAATCTCTACACTTTTCGGATGCACGTCCTGACTGTCTGCACTAGTCAGAGACCTATTCTCAAGTGTTTGCCTGTTTGCTCATACCGATACCTGTTCTTGAAGGTTTTGGAGTCTTGGAGTTGGGGGCCTTGCGGTTGAAGGTGGACAAGCCTGGATACGGGTCTTATGGTGGGTTCAAGGAAGGAATTTAGGGAGGGAACTCAAGGTCTTAAGGTGGCTTCAGGTGTTTTGATGTTTATTGTATATTTTTGGATTGATAAATTGTCATTATTGAAGCTAGGGGGATTAAACGGGTCTCGTTACGGTTATTAATATTCCTAAGTATAGTGATTGTGGAACACGTTTTGTGTAAAGCACTCCTTGAGTCCTTGAGGAACATGTGAAATGTGCATGTGAAAAGCACTTTGGAGCATGGCTGCTGGTTCTGCTTCAGGGGGCGGTGACAAATATCATTTGCTATTTGGGATCTTTGCTGGTGATTTTGTTTAGATATTAAATATGAATTGAATGCGTTTCTTTTTGCCAGTTTAAGGAGCAGGTGAACATCCAAAATTGTTTTTGCGAGTACATTTATTTATGTATACAAGTCTGAGAGGACTTTGTCAAGGACATTAGATCAGAATAAGTTGAATGCAAAGGCTGCACTTTGCCCCGATTGTTCCGACTACCTAAGGTTTGGAGAGGCAGCCATGAAAGTTGATGTACGACGGGCAGAGGAACAGCGCCAGGAGCCATGGTTTTGTGTTGGTCACCATGGATGTAGTGGCCCAGTGGCAACTCATTAGTCATTAGCCTTTGTTTCCTTACGAAGACTCGCTTGCAAAGAACAAAGATTCGATCCTTGGCGCTTGTTTGATAATTCCCTCGCAAGAGGAGTTGGCACAGTGTGCATCTGGTGGGCCCATGCAACTGCAGATGGCGGAAGAAGCCTTGAGGCGAATCCCGGGAATGGGCGAATTGCGAATTTGGATTCACTTCTTTGCGACTTTGCTTTGCCAAATCTTTTTTTCATTACTACTGTAGTAGCAAATAGCTACTAGTAGCTTCTTGCTACTAGTAGGAATGGCTTGCACCCTAGTAGCGATGGCCTCCTCCTAGTAGCGTCCTTGCTACTAGTAGCAAACAACCTACTAGAGTGTGCTAGGATTCAATTCTTGTTAGCAGCTGGTGGCTTCGTTGACAAGTGAAAGGACATCCATGTCATCAAACCCATGTCTTGACCATTGCCAGCCGCCTGGATGATGAGACAAAGACTACCTTCCAGGCGATGCAGGTGGGCCACATATTTTGTTTTGTAAAGCAGAATCGGTCAAAGAACTTCCTTTTTGCATAGCTGCACAGAATTCAAGGAAGTGGAGGTTGGACGACTGTTAGTTCCATCTCATTTCAGGGTTTATTTCTGAGTTTGGACAGGAGGGTGGTGCACCCACCTTTGCCCAGCGGGCATTCTTGGAGAAGGCCTGGTGGTTGTCCCCACACTGTGCTGAAAAACATGGATTCTCAGCATTTTCACTTGGATCTTCTCCCATGGAACTTGTGGGTGGGTGGCCTCTCTGACGTAGTAGCTTTCAGGGGATTTGTGTTGCAGCTTTTGGCACAGGCGGGCGTGCCGACAGAGGCAGGGGCGTCGGCATCTAGAAATGGCAGGCATTCCACCAGGTATTGAAACCTGCAAGTCTAAAGTTGATTGGAAACAAGATGAACCATGGATTTCAGACACGATGAGCAGGATGTGGAGGTTCTGGCCTCCAGCGCCTCTCCGGAGGCTGGGGAAGAAGGTCGTGGACTCTTTGTGCGCAGATTTTCGTTTTCGGTGTTCGAAGATGAAACAGACTTCGGAAGGTTGTTCTGCCAAACAAGTCTATACGAGTCTACCGAAGCAAATTTGGCCTCGGTGTTGGAGTTCTTGGACATTGGAATCCAAGGCAAGTGCAGTCGAATAGTGAGCATTAATGTAGGTTTGTCTTTATTGTGGGAGTGTACAGTGCCTCTCGAAGTCAATTAGTTGGACTGCTTTACAAAACAACCAAGTTACTGGCAGGACTTAGGATCATTAGACAACGTGAAACTGATGCCACCGCACTTATCAAGCATTTAAAGGACTCAAAAATCCTGTCCAGACCTCTAGGAAGCATATAATTGCCGAACACGACTGCCAGAACCCATGTAGATATATGAACCTTCCAACCAACTCTCTTCAAGTTTACCCGTTACAGCGGTTACAGTGATTCGTTGATCCCTACTGACCCGCCCTTTTCATTCACATGATCCCGCCCATCTTGGGACAGGCCGTGCCCAGCGAACGCCTCGAGCAGCTTCATCGATGTGCCCGATGGCAGGTTGGGACCCGTCGATGATTCGCATCCGGGAGTGGGGTCCGGAAGACCTTCGGAGGTCATCAGGTTTAGGCTAGGGATCAACTCCCAAAGGACGAACCCACCCGAAATCACACCCCAGTGAGGACAAATCCACAAGAATTAACCAGAATCCTTCGATGTGTGACCAAGAGAGTGGTCAAATTGGTGATTTGTGTTGCTGGGACGGTCCCGTTATCTTGCTTTGCCTCCGGGATGTTCTGGTTTGAGGCGTTTGCAGAAGCACTTCTGGAATCTCGGCAGACGCTGAAAGCTTCGCGCAGCTTAGCGTGCATTGGTGACTGAGTTGCGCTCGGGTGCAAACATTTGACCAGCCGAAGATCAGCAAAAGTACCGACTGAAACGATGTAATTGATCTAACAGGTCCCATGTGATGGATTGCACTTGTCCAGCACGGTCAACCGCTTTGCTGCCAGGCTACGGTGGTATTTTTGTGGAACGTCCGAGAGCCCAGAGGCAGGGAGAGGTTAGGCTCTACGATACCAAGCATTGTTGACAAGTGTTCCTGCGGTGCTTACTGGTCCAGGAATATCAACACGTTGGCGGACCAAAGCCTGCATCACCATCTGGCATTCGCTGTAATTACCAGTGAAAGGACGGATTTGATTTGCATGCTTTCTGGGCAGGTCGCGCGGAATTTGTCTGTCACCAGCAACACTTGGCTTGTTCATGCGTGAGTCATAAGCTACAATCAGACATTAGCAGCCCCGCAGTCCGTAAGGTAGGAGGCGATAAAAGAATGCTGGGAAATGACAGTAACTGCACTTATGCTGGTTCCAGTAGTGCATTCGACTGTAATGGTTCCCTTTCACCTCAAAATAGGCCAACGAGCGAAGTGAGCTCAGGTGCAAGGAGCAAAGACACTCGAGACCACTTGCCCCCGATCAAAGGCTTTGGGGCGGGGGCGGGTCGGATCGATCTTTGAGGTCTGAGATCTGGCCGGGGCCGCTTGGCCATCTTTCAGAACACCTCCGTCTTCCACAGCGCTCCGTGCTCCTGGCCACATTGGCAGAGTGCGGAGCCTTCGCTGGCTGTGCCTGGGCGGGCTTGGGTGGTGAAATGAACATAAAAGAACATGCTGGATAGTAGCTTCTTGATTTGGCATGGTTCAAAAGGCGGTGGTGAGCACAAAAGGTTTGAGCAACTTCAAATTGGCAGCATTCCGCCAAGTTTCTTGTGCACGTGCCCGTGCTCTGACTCGAGGATGTCAAGACATGCAGATCAGATTCTGCTATTGGACACTTTTCTGCAGTATCCAATGGACTGCAGTAGAAAGTAGACAATAATTATTATTCCAATCACGCGACAATTTCATCATTGATTTTGATGGTTCATATTCTATATACTCGAGGAATCTCCAGGATTGATGATATTTGGGGGTTCCTGGGCTTTTGAGAATGCCAGGCTTGTCTTGGGCCTTGCCACGAAAGCTTTGGCTGAGGTGCCTTTGGGGTTGTTTGAGCTAGCAACACTGGCAGGGATCAATGCCCAGGGCCAGCAGCTTTTTCAACTGCGAAGGCAGAAGAACACCAGCGCTGACCATTCCTTAGCCACTAGTTTGAGAAAGGCAAGGAATGAACAGCTGGGATTTCGTGGCTATATAGAACGCTTGCGCTAATGCAGATCAACTGAGAACCAGGTGGTCTTCTTGTGTATGGAGAGTTCCCAGTCGAAGAGACCCCACAAAGACCAGCTTGCAGCGCTTGCTCCCGAAAATTTGCAGGGCTCCAAGGGCAAGGTGCACGTTCCAGAGGCAGGAAGATCGGCAAAGTTTAACCGTCTCCGATTTTTTGGCAGGATTGGTTGAAGAAATGCTTTGTCTTTTTAGGAATTGGGTGAAGAAGTGATGGTCTCAGAACCATTTTGGTAGGCGAGATCGCCAGGTTTTGCAGTTTGGAGCACCCAAGTCAAGGACTCCAGGGACCCTCAAAGTTGGAAAGCCATGGGTCATTGAACTTTGGCGTTGGGGCGTTGGGCCGAGGTCACAAATTGGCCCCTGCCCTTGACGCACAAGCAACGGAGCCTGGCATTCTCTTCTCAAGGATGGTCTGGAGACTCGGGTCCTTTAGGCCATGAAAGGCCAGAACCATTGAGCCTATTGCTGCGCCTATTGAGCCTAGGCTGTGAAGGCTCCAAGGGCTTGCCAAGAAACTATTGGAGCTATTTTAATTTGGAGATGCTAGCATCGCATTTTTGAAGACAGGACAGCTCAAGAAGAGCGCTCAAGAGCATATAAAGCCTGAAGCATGGCAATGTACACAAACATCAATACAAGTTACATCTTGTGCCGTTGCAAAGCTGCCGTGCCACCAAACATGGTGCCTCCGTTTGTTTCCTTCGATGCGACTGAGGAGCAAGCATGCGTGACATGCAAAACAGTCACGGATTTGCAGAGCACGATTTGAAGAGCGGATAGAAACCATCGCTGCTGAACTCAATGAACCAGAATACCTTGTCTCCATTCTTGAGGTTGTGCCTCATAGAAATGGGTTATAGTTATAGATATAGTTCGTTATTATAGTTATAGCTCCTCAAAAACTAAGGACGATCCCCATTGCCTGTTTTGGTGGATTAACACCATTGACTCCTGGCTTTTCCAGGATGCCATGGAGGACTCTGGACCTGGCATGGCCACACCCGAACACTGGAGCGACGTGGGGCCCTTGCGTGGGCGCTTGGGAGTGGTGGAGCAGCAGCTCCAAGCAGTTCAGGCCAGGTCGCGCGGTTCATTGGGTTTCATGAACTGCGCGAAGAATATTGATGTTGCACAGGCGGGTTTGACAAAGGATTCACATTCACAATTGACATGTTCATCCAGTTTTCGGACCAAGTTTTTCTGGGCAAGTCATGGACAACCAGCGTTTTTTACTCTCGTGTCCGCCAGCGCACCGATGTTTTTTTTGGAGTCGTTTGGCCTGAAGAGACTTTGAACTTACTAGGGACCATGGAAAGGTGTGGCAGAGTGTTGAAGTATCAGGTGTCATCAAGACCTGCTATCAGCACTTGAGATGAGCCCTTTCTCCTTAGAACTTATGAGTTGAAGCCATGAAACATGCAAAAAAGCCAAGGCAAGGGAAAGCTCCCTTTGCAGTCTATTCTTTTTTTGTTTTGTTCCCGTTCTCAGTGACCAGATGGATTAGACCGGCAGGGGCAAGTCTCTGCTCTGGGCTCTCAGATGGCGGTGATGGGTCAGAGCCTACGACAGGTGGAGATCCAGCTGAGACTCGGACATATTGATATGAGAGACAAGCTGCCGTCACATGGGTGGAGTTTGAGAAGGGGTGGATGGGGATGTGAGGCATGGAAAGAACATGGGTATTCTCCCACCCTACTCCCATCTGTACATGGGTTGCACGTCGAAGCGCCCCATTCCAATTGAAAAGACTTCGCTCCCGTAGGGAGTTTGCGCCTCCGTGAGGCTGCAAACTTCGACTCTACCAGGTTGGCCAAATGAAGCCAAATGGTCATGACTTTTGCTATTCAGCTGGAAAAACTTGCACACTGGAGACAAGTAACACACGTCGCAAGGATGCTGCAGCGTCAGCAGCATGAGGATCTCATGAAGCTGTTGGTGAGCCAAGCTACATCAGGCCCTGGGAGCCACTGGGGTCGACGGATTCATGGGACCCACAGAGTCTATCCTGGGGACCCACAGGTCGTTGCAGTTGAAAGGATCGACCTCGGGAGACGCTTCTGTCTCTGTGCCATGCAGTGTCCCATCCTGTGCCAGGCGGGTTGATCAGACGGGTACTGAATGTTTGAAAGCAGCTCTACTTTGTGTTGCTGTAGCAGACTTCCGAATCCCCCTGCAGAGCTCCCAGCACGACAACTTTGAGGATGATCTACCTCTGATAGTGGCGTGGAAGCTTCATTTGGTCAGTGTCAGTCTTTAACTCATCAGGCGCCAAGAAAGCCCGCCCTGGCCCACGCGAACGGCAGCGCTTACGCGAGGCGGAGTGGCCCAGTGGATGTGATCGACTCTCCATTATTGTTCCGTTCCGAAAAGGCTTTGGCCATCCACACACTGACATGCTTCATTTCCAAGAAAAGGGGCATCAGTCATGGAAGCAGGGAGTTTTGGAATGACCTGCTTGTTGGCGGAGAATCCCTTGTGCTTGGATTCAAGTGCAATCGATAGCCTCCCTGACCACTCTCTTCAGGCAAATCAATCAGTGGTCCACACGCCGGAGATGCCTCTTGGCTCAACTAAACAGTATGCCAGGGAGGAGTAAAGTCGTTTGAAGTTGTCATTGTCACATTGTCTAACATCTCATGCGTACCATCTGAGGTTTACAGCCTCAGAGCCGGACGCCCCAAGCACCTGCCCCGCTCACCCAGAGTCGGAGCCAGTGGAGCCGCTGGAGCCGCTGGAGCCGGTGCCCGAACAGGTGCCAGAGCCGGTGGCACCCGTCGCTGTGCCGGCCGTGCGTCCCATCTCGTCCTCCCCAGACCACGGCGAGATGGCCAAACCGGTAGCTGGTGGAGCGCGTTCTGCCCATCGGAGGAGTGACATGATGAAATTAGGGTAAAATTAGGGTGAAAATGAGGGCTGGCGGCTGACGTCATTTTCTTGAATTTGGCAGGTAGCCATCGTCAACGTCGGATCACGGTCACATTAGCTTGGCTTCCTTGACAGGTGAGTTCTCAATGGAAGGGCCCATGCCAACAGAACCGCATGGGCCATTTCTTTAGCCTTTTGTAGTACAGTATACAGAATATGACAGAATATATACACAATGCAGGTATGCCTGCTTCGTACATTTTCTTTCTACGTGAGACTCGATCAAGACACTCATGACTCCACTCTTTTTCCTCTTTTCCAAAGACTAGAATAGATTCGCTTAGACGATGTCCTGGTGCCGCAGGATGTCCTGGTGCTTTGTTACACTGATGTGGCTTCTGTACCTGATTCGGGATGTCCAGTGGCCTGAGCAATCTTTGACTGATATCACTGAAGAGGCCTGCGGTGTCATGTGCGCTCCAGGGGTGAGTTCCTGGTACTAGTTTACTAGGACATACTAGGACAACTCAATGAACCAGAGTAAACACCGGAACGGGTTCAGGGGATGAGATGATATAGACTTCATAGATGCAGGGCAATGCAGGGCAATGCAGGGCCGCTTGTTCAATGTTTTGGGACAACACCCACCCGGACAATGCCAGGCCTTTGATCCAGAGTTGAATGCAGAGTTGACTTCGAACCCCTGGGAAGCGAGGAGCAGAGCTGGGTTGGCAGTGAATGCAGAAGTTTGAAAGAACTAATTTTGGATCAATATAATTGTTCTCAGGTAGGGTGGGTGCCCCACACCTTGGCCAAACATTAACTCCTATGGTACTTGCTGTGTGAACTCCTGTTTTGATTGTTTCTGCTTTGTGCTCAACAGATCTCAACAGAAGTGAAAAACACTTTCACACGTGATTGCACGTCTTCCTCCTTTGTTTTTGTAATCAAATCAAAGTCTTTCTATATTGAGGAATGCATCAACTGCTTCTTCAATTGGTGCCATTTGGACACGAGTTAGTTCATTTGTGATGAATAGTTTATATAGTATAAAACAATTCAACTATTGTTTAATGTTTTCTGCAGAATCATAGGCTGACCACCTCGTTTTGCACCGCTGTTTGGGCTCAAAGTCTGAGGGTTCATGGGGGAGGCACGGTGCAATAAGTGCCGTGTTGCACCATCCCTCATCGGGGATTCTTGGTGCCTCAGCTGTTCGGCAGTTGAGGCGATCTCGGCAGAGCTCCGAGAGAGGTGGGGGTCGGTTGAGCTTCGGCGGCTGGCGGCCGATCAACTCGTTGATCAGGCCAAAGCGCTGAAAACTTTGAGGATCTTGTCCTTGCGGTTGCGCTTCGAAGGAGAGGATTCGCGTGGTGCCAAAGCCAGCCCGAAAGCTCTGGGTGCGACCCCAAAGGCCGCTGCAAGACCTCCCCCAAAAGCTCCTCCGGTTGTGCGTGAGAAGGTGAAGGTTGAGGAAGCCGCTGAGCAGCCAGAAGTTGAACAGGAGGAGGTTGAAGTTGAAGGCGAGAGCGAGTACACCTACGAATACTCGGAGGCTGAGGATCCCCCTTCATTGGTTGAGACGTTTGAGGAAGGTGTTGATCAATCCAAGCGACCCGCGACGCCGAAGAAAGGCGCTGGGTCTGGTGAAGGTAGTGAGCAAAAGAAGAAGAGGCAGTTTTCAGAGGAGGTGAGATCAGTGCCTGTGAGTGGAAAAGAGGAGAAACCCCCGAAGAAAGAGAAGAAGAGGCATTCGTCCGGACATTCTCGTCACAGAGGACGTCGAGGAGGTTCGAAGCATCAACAGGTGAAGAGACAGAAGAAGGACCCGACAGTTCGTGTGCATCGACGGAAAAGCATTCAACAGTTGGCCCAATTGAAGGCTGAAGACGCCCCCTTGCCCTCGCGGGAGAAGGGATGTCGACGCTGAGGTCAATCTTTCCTTTATGGCAGGAGGGCGACCTATTTTCCCTCCAAGAAACGGCAGAATGGCATATGGTCACACCGGTGAAGGGAGATGTGGCTGTCGTGCCTTTGAAACATACAGATTTGGAGACTGCCTCGGACTCGGAAGCAGCTTTCTTGGTCTTAGGAAGATCAGTCACCCCAGATGGAGGCATGGAGTTGAGCGCTCGCTTCATTGGAGGCGAGGATCAAGAATGGTCGAAGGCTTTCTCAAACTGGTTCAACCGACGCCAAGGGAGCATCCACCTGTGTCCCTCCATACCGTGCACCCATTTCGACTCCACTGTGCTGCATACTACTCAGGTTCGCTTCTTCACCCTCGACAGCTTCACGGCCGACTACTATGGGGCGGCTCAGAGGAGGCAAGTGAAGAAGTGGTTAGAAGGAGGAGTTGCATCAGCAGGAGAAGAAGCAGAGGTGATTGGAGAAGGCGCAGAGAAGGTGAGCAAGAAGACAAAGGCAGATGCCCGGGAAAAAGGAAAGGGTGGAGCCACCGCCAAGAACCCCCCAAAACGACCCGGGGTGTTGCGACGACCTTCAACAAGTCGCAAGCCTGCCCAGGACAAAACCTCTCAGGACAGAGACGAAGCACTGGGCGATTTGACGGGAGCAGGCCTTGGCAACGAGGAGAGTGGTCCCTTGCCCGAGGATTTGAGGACAGAAGAAGGCCAGGGTCTTTCCAAGGCAGCCACAACGGATCTCCGGTCAAGATTAGAGGCATTGCGCTCACGGCTAGGTGGAGGAGCAGCTTCGAGAAGAGTGCAGTTCGAGGAGCAGGAGAGAGTGGTAGATGCAGAGGGTGCAGAGCCGGACAAAGAGCGAACTTCAGACTCTGTTCGGGGTTCGAGGAGTTTGACTTCGGGTCTGAGCTTGAGACGGAAAGTGGACAAGGCAGAGGCTTCAAAAGATATTTCTTCGAGGAACATCTCAGCACAGCTGGCCTTGCAAGCTCAGCAGACAATGACCGAAGGACGGAGCCTGAGGAGAACCAGGGAAGACGGAGGCCGAGAGACCGAGGAGAACAAAGAGGAGATCTTGCAGTTGTTGAACCGTGTGCTAGGGAAAGACCCGAGCGCTGGTGGGGGCAGGAGTGGAGAAGATCCACCAGACAGAGGCAGCAGAGGACGATCGAGGAGCTCCCGCAGGAGAGACAAGAGACGGAGGAAGGACAAAGGCAAGAGAAGAAAGCGAAAGCTGGTGAACGGAGTGCTGATGTCCACCTCCAGTTCGGAGCACTCGAGCGACGGGTACTCAGGGAGCGAGTCCGAAGAATTCGAAGCACCGATGAGACGGAGATCTCGTCACAACCCCGGCAGTGTGCTCCGCTTGCTGGTACAGAAAGCTCAAACCGCGCTCGACCAGTCGGCATTAGTGGAGGTGGACCCGAGCCTGAACAGTGCGATCACGAAGGGAGTGAAGCTGGTTACATATTACCAACTCCATGTTCGACCTCACTTCAACCATGCTCGAGGACCCATGAGAGACATGTACTTGATGGCACAGACCCTCGACTTGATACGCTCAGGTCAAATAGCCCGTGCGGCGGACCACCTCGCTGGGCACTTCCTCGCGACCCATCAGTCGCTGATGGATCAGGGCTGGAGCCAGGCCAAATTTTTAGAGGTGATCGAGGGCGAGGAGATGAGCGCCACAAGTGCGTCAATCTTGTTGGAGACGAGAAAGCGCGCGAAAGCCAGCCTGAAAGCCGAGATGCCGGATGCTTGGAACCCCATGAGGAGTCGAGGCTGGTTCGGAGGAGATGGCAAAGGAAAAGGCTGGTGGCAGCACGACAAAGGAAAAAGCAAAAGCAAAAAGGGAAAAGGAAAGGACAAGGACAAGCACGACAAGGGAAAGGACCTCAAAGGGAAGAATGCGTGGAAGGACAACCAGGACAAGCCAGACCAGAGTTGAGAGAAGGAGAGGAGTTGAGTCGGCCGCCTATAAATCCCTCCATTTGGCAGGGGGGTCTGGCGCCATGTTTGAAGCTGTCGACTGAGGAAGTTGATTCCTTTGAGCGTGAGGAGAATGCGTGTGAGGAGAGCAGAGTCGGCATTGAGAGGAGTGCATGTCGTTTGAATGAATTTGTTTCCGGCCATGATATCTTCGAGCAGGTAGGCACCCGGATTATAGGCATTGAGATCACTGGATGCATGCTTGCTTGGATCGTGGCTAAGGCCGGAGGTTTTCGGAGAGACCCAGCATGGAACTGGGCCCAGAGGATTCTTTTTGAGGAGAGGGTGACCGCAACCTGTCGCGAGAGGCCCAAAGGAGCCGTCTCGTTCCCAGTGAGGCTTGGTGACCTTGAGCCTCTTGTTGCCACGCTTGGAACTTGCAGTCTTGCAGAGGTGACGCAGTCGGAATTTGTTCAGGCAAATGCTGAGGATTGTTGGTTGATGGCATCTTTGTTCGCTTTGAATAGCCTGGCTGGTTTCAACAAACCGCTGGCACCTGGCAAATGGAGCAAGCTTGAGAAGAGAGGAATAGACAACGTCAGAGCGGCTGTGAAGAGGCTGCTGGACTTACCCCGTGACCCTCTAGAGTCCTTTGAAAAAGTGTGCGAGGATTTTCGGCACGCACGCGTGGGATACGATGGGGAGGAGGTTGGCTCCTGTGAACTGTTGAGCTTGAGTCAAATCCTCCCTGCTCTTCCCCCCTTGGGCCACGGAGGTTCTATTCCTTTAAGTGCTGTCTTGTCACAAGCTACCTACCAACAACTACTACATCCAGAAGATTTGTTGAAGGAAGATTTTACAAAACCCATTCCTTCTATCCCCGGAAAAGCTCATTTTGCAAAGGGTGAGAGGACTTTGGTTTGCTCAGAGCTGGTTAGACGTGGTATTTGCACCTGGGTTAAGGCTGAGGAGGTGTTGGTGTTCAAAGGGAAACGCATTCTAAACGGCCTGTTTGGCGTGAGAAAACCTGCACAGTTGGAGGACGGTAGACCAATCTTAAGGGTGATTATGAATCTCAAAGCAAGCAATTCGGTGTTGAAGCAGTTGAAAGGATCGGTGCATGCTCTTCCTGCCATCACTTGTTTCCAATCCACCGTTCTGGATAAGTCGGAGGAGATGAGTATGTATCAGTCCGACATGTGTTCGGCTTTTTATATGTTCCGTTTGCCTGTGGCCTGGCACCCCTTTCTCTGTTTCAATGTCTGTGCAAAAGGCTTTGAAATTGGGAAGACCGATGGCCAGGAGTATTATTTGTCCTGTTCAGTCTTGCCTATGGGTTGGCATTGCAGTGTTGGTCTGACGCAAGAAATTAGCGAGAGAGTCTTGTGGAATGCTGGCTTGCCTGCCTCGCAGCAAATACGACGAGGGGTTGCTATACCTCCCGTCTTAACTCAGTGTGCTCATGAGGCCTCGAGTTCAGAAAGAGGTTTTTGGCAGGTGTACCTTGACAACTTCATGGCTGGTGACAAACGAGCCCTACACGTCAACCCTAGTGTAGGTGACCACATGCACGACACAGCAGAAGCAGCTTGGGCACGGACAGGCATTATCTCCTCGGACAAGAAGAGAGTGGCAAGGGCAGAAGTCATTGAAGAGCTGGGAGCAATGCTTGGTGGACGTTCAGGTTTCCTAGGAGGGTCCCCTAAACGTTTCTGTAAACTTGCACAGGCCACTTGCTGGGTTTTGAGTCAGAAAGCTTTAGGAAGAAAACAGGCTCAGATTCTGGCAGGACGATGGGTGCATGTTTTGCAATTTAGGAGACCAGGCATGGGCTGGCTTGATCATGTCTGGAAGTTCATCAATGGAAAGAAGGGTGAGAGCAATGTTTCACTGAAACCAAAAGAGAGTTCTTCTTAATCATGAGTGCCATCCCCCTCTTGCATACTTCGATGACTGCCACCGTCACGGATTCTTTCTGGTGTAGTGATGCTTCAGAAAGGGGGGGAGCTTTCACTTGTGCAAGGGAACTTTCCCCGGTTGGCAAAGATTTTCTCATGGCCTCAAGGTTAGCCAGCAGGACTTTGGGTTCAGCTCCAATCTTAGTAATTGCTCTGTTCTCGGGCATTGGTGGCACCTTCCGGGTTTACGACATTCTGGACATTATCCCCCAGGGGGCTATAGCAGTGGATGTTCATAAACCTGCAAATCGCATTGTCAGTCGGCGTTGGCCGGGTGTTCACATCCTCAGGGACGTCAGAGACATAGGCCAGGAGCAGGTTGAGGAGTGGGCACTTGATTTCGCTGCAGTTCAAGAAGTCCACCTGTGGGAAGGTTTTCCATGCAGAGACCTCAGCTCAGCAAGGGCGAATCGCAAGAATCTGGAAGGCCGGGATAGCAGCCTTTTCTTTGAATTTCTCCGAATTTGGGAGCTGTTGGTTCAGCAATTCCCACATTCAGTTAAAATCAAAGTGGCTGCCGAGAATGTGGCCTCAATGGACGAGCAGGCATCAACAGAGATCAGTGAATGGATGGGGGTTCAACCCTACTACCTGGATTGCATTGATGCTGTACCCATGCGTCGCCCGAGACTGTGTTGGACAACCGAGCAAGTCGAAGGCAGCCTGGATGGAGTGCAGTGCTTCCCTGAGAGGCGATGGACGAAGATAGTTGCAAAGGCACCTCACCCTACTCTCGAGCAGTGGTTAGCCCCAGAATGTACATGGCCTGGCGAAGGTCGTTGTGAAGGGTTTCCCACATGTATGCGGGCGGTGCCTAAGAAGTTTCCACCCAGTTTTCCGGCCGGTTTGGAGAGAGCAGACTCTGATTGCCGTGATAGATGGGAAGCTTCAGAGTTTATTTACCCTCCTTATCAGTTTAGGGCTGAGTTCCTGATTTGGAAGGATTCCCGGTGGAGATTGATAAATTGTGAAGAGAGGGGGCTTTTGATGGGATATGGTCATGAACATTGTTCACTTGCGTGGCCGGCCAGTCGTATTAAAGAAGATAAAAAGGGGTACGAGTTGGAGAAGTGTTCATTGATTGGGGATGCTTTCAGTATCCACTCCTTTGTTGTCATTGGTTGTGCCCTCTGCCGTGGTTTTCTCCCGCAAATTCATTATCACCATTTGGCTGCACGCATGGGCCTGTCCCCGGGTTTTCGAGCCCCGCTACGTTTTCAAGCCCCCATTCGTCGGTCACTGCAGTATGGTTGTCAAAATATCGCAGAGGCTCAAGAGGGTTTGACCGTGTCGGAGCTCAACAAGTTGTTCTGAGGAAGAGCCAACTTTACCGGAAGTGATGTGCGCATCACAAGTGGAGACCTTCTCAACCCAAAGGCCTTCCCTCGACAACCCGTTTGTGCAGGTTGGTGGAAGTGGCAACATTGCTTCACAGTTAAATGGAAAGAAAAACATCACATTAACCTCCTTGAACTTAGAGCTATCATCCTTAGTGTGCAGAGAGGGCTTGAAAGAGAGAATTGGAATAACTGTCGCATTTTCCATGCCACGGATTCCTACGTTTGCATGAGCGTCATTAGAAAGGGACGCACCTCTAGCCTCATGTTAAACAAGCTTCTCAAGAAACTCAATGCGTTGCTTTTGTTCCATGGCCTTCAGATGTTGGTTGTGCATGTTGAAAGTTCGGAAAACCCGACGGACGCTGCCAGTCGACAATGAGTAAAAGAGATGGTGCGTGTCCACGCCAAAGTCATTCATCGCACTACCCGGCAGCAGCGTCGAAGGGCGCGCGCTGGGGTGATTCTGTCAGAAGCTGGCTTGAGTGAGCGCACTAAGGTCGCTTATTTGACCGCACTTCAGAAGCTATTGCCAGAACTTGAGGACGTTCAGGGGCCCGCACAATTGGACATTGCAGTCGCTAATTGGGTTGAAAGAGCATGGGAGGATGGTGAAACCCTCTATGTGGTGTCTAACGCACTTTGCGGCTTGCATTTCTTCGAACCCATGACAAAGCATTGTATCCCTAGCGCCTGGCGTTTGTTTGCCACATGGCGAAAATTGGAATGGCCATCTCGAGCACCTCCTCTCACGTGTGGTATTGTCATGAGCCTTGCAAACTATGCTGTATCACATGGTGACATCTTTTTCGCCGCTCTTTTGCGCTTGGGATTCTTTGGCTTGCTACGGACAGGCGAGCTGATGAGTTTAGTTGGCACAGATCTCCTTTGTAATCGCCGACAGCTCTTGATTTCCTTGAAAGGTACTAAAAGTGGCAAACGAAACGCAGCTGACGAGACCGTTGCTGTGGAGAATGATTTCACCCTTTTGATCGTGTCCACCGTGTTGGATATCCTGACCTCCAGGAATGCATTGTCGCACAAGCTGTGGGAGTTTTCACCTCAGAGTTTTAGAAATCATTTCGATGCGTACCTTCGTCGGTTCAACATACAACACTTGTTGTTCCGCCCGTACTCCCTCCGGAGGGGGGGGGGCAACCCACCTTTTTCAGGTGACAGGAAGCATGGAAGTCGCTTTGGTCAAAGGCCGTTGGAGTTCGAACAAAGTTGCCAGAGTCTATATCTCTGATGGACTCAGTAAACTTCCTGATCTTGTGTTGGACAAAGAGGCTAAGAAGTTGCTTGCAGCCTGGCATCCCCGTAGTTGCCACCACGGAAATGGGGACCGTGGAAAGTGAATAGCGCATGTGCGCCGGTGGATCATTTTCACCGTC